GTGCATTTTGGAAAAGAGGGGAAGGGTTCAGATCATGCTAGTTTGGGGTTGTCCCAGCTTCCCATGCTGGCCCGGGCTCCATGTTACTCTGCTGTGTAGGTGTTAACTAGCGCATCTTAGTTTATCTGGGTTTTGAATGCCTGTATCTATCTCCATGTGACTCTAATAAAACCGTGAGAGTGGGGGAGAGCCAGAATCAAGCCAGGCTGGGTCACCCCCACACCGCTGACTGATTTGTTGCATACTGCTCTTTATATGTGGACAGGGTAGAAATGGATAGAGAACAGTCCCATACCATACACAATGTTTTCACACTGTGCCTGGCCCTAGCATTTGCAATACAATGTTCAGCTAAGTTGTATCAAACTAGTTACATGTAAGCTTGAGCCTCGTCAGGATTGCTTTTTCCATATAGTGGAAAGCATGAAAGCTCTCTCTTCCTTTATGCAAATGTGTATGCAGAAGAAAATAATGTCTTCCTCATTTGATGGGGTCCTCATTTGTTTAGTGACCATTGAAACTTACAATGACACTAAGTGGTACTCATGACTGGTCTTTAATTTACAATGCCCTGCAGTCATGCATTTGCCATTTGCAACATTTTTTGCCAGCTTTCTACAAGCAACGTCAATAGGGAGCTAGCAGATGGTAATCACATAACACCCTCACTTCATGATGGCATGAATTTTACTTAACAATGACAACTAGAATTTTGCCAGAATTTTTGTTACTAAGCAGTGCAGTCATGTTGCCCTACTTTACCATTGTTATTGCCTACAAATGTACTCCAGTCCCAGTTAGTGTTGTGAGGACTACTGGCAGTAGTGGAGGATGGCATCTTGAAAGGTCTGTGCTTTTCCCAGTCCCACCAGTAGATACAGTTTTAAAAAGTGTGACAATTAAGAAAGTGGAAAACACTCTAATCATTCCAGTTACGTTCCTCCTAGGTGTAGAAAGCAGTCTTTGCAAAATCCCACTTTCTCATTGCTTTGCCCTTTGAGATCTCCAAAAGCTAAGCCCAACATAAACAGTGTGTTTCTGTGAGCAAAGTCTTTGGAGAAAAAAACAACCTACTCCTTACTATGATGACTCTCTTCCCCCCTCCCAGCCCTATACACTTCAGTGTCAAAGACTGAAGCAAATGAGAGTCTCTCCTCTGCATCTGGCCTACTGGCTTGGTTAGCTTAACTCCTTCAAAACTCATGAGAATATTTTAAGGTATATAGATCAAAATTGCCTTGTTCAATATACTTTTTATTATACAGTAAAAAAAAAACCTTGTATATGATCAAGGCTCTTTGCATGTTCTAAAGAAAAAATAACAGAAACAAATGCATAGTATATGAACAGCTGGCTATAAATAAGGAGGATAGTAAATTTCTGTAAACATACCGTATTTTTCGGAGTATAAGACGCACCAAGGTTTTGAAGAGGCAAATTAAAAAAAAAGTAGGTAGGTAGATAGAGGGATAGAGAGGGAGAGAAAGAGAGAGAAATACAGTAGGTAGGTAGGGAGAGAGAGTGTTTGTGTAGGTAAGTAGGTAGGTATGTGGAGGGATAGAGAGAGAGAAATACAGTATGTAGGTAGAGAGTGTGTGTAGGTAGGTAGGTAAAGGGATAGAGAAATAGAAAGAGAGAGAGAAATACAGTAGATAGGTAGGGAGAGAGAGAAAGAGTAGGAAAGTTGGTAGGTAGAGGGATAGAGAGAAAGAGAAAGAAATACAGTAGGTAGGGAGGGAGAGAGAGTAGGTAGATGTTTTCAGGTGTATTTATCCATTGCTGGAGAAGGAAACCTCTGATAATCTGCAGCATCTGACTTTGTTTCTGCTGGCACAGCACTTGATCAATCTAATTCTCACCAATCAGTTAAAGAGCTTTCCAAAGGGGAGGGGAGTTTTTGCACTCTGCAAACCTCCCCAAAACAGCCTGTTTTTCATGAAAAGAGGCCAGTTTTTTTTTTTAAAGGCATGAATAGCACCTTGCAGAGTGCTCCTGGAAAGAGGGGGGGTAAAAATGAGCAAAAAACAGCCCATTTTTCATGAAAACGGGCCCACTTTTTGTAAAAAAAATTGCATGTGGAGGCTTATAGAGTGCTGCTGGGGGCTGGGGAGGCATAAAACGGGCCATTTTTTGCTCATTTCTGCCCTCCCAAGCCCCCATGAGCTCTCTGAAAGCCTCCATAAGGGTATGCACGGCCAGTTTGGTGAAGGGGGGGCTTCAGGAGACAAAAAATGCTGTCATTTGATGTATAAGACGCACCCAGATTTTCAGCCTCTTTTTTGAGGAAAAAAGCTGCGTCTTACACTCCAAGAAATACAGTAACTCTCTTCCCTCTCCTGCACTGATTCATACACAGAGTTGCCTTCTATTTATAGGTGAATGCATGAGGTAGTTCATGCAGTGGTTAGAATGCAGTGTTGCAGGCTAATTCTGCTGACTGCTAACAGTTTGATCCTGATCAGCTCAAAATTGATTCAGCCTTCTAACCTTCCGAGGTCGGTAAAATGAGAACCCAAATTGTTGGGGGCAATATGCTAATTCTGTAAACCGCTTATAGAGGGCTGTAAAGCAATATGAAGTGGTATATAAATCTAAATGCTATTGAAATGAAATGTATTTAAAAGGAAAACTTAATTCAGTAGTTGTGTCACAGTGCAGCTTCCTTACCTATTTATTTATATTCCACTTTTATTGTTTTTATAAATAATGCAAGATGGTGAATTTATATAATATTTTCTCTTTCTCTTTTCCTCATAACAACCCTGTGAGGTGGGTTAGGTTGAGAGAGTGTAGCTGATCCAAGGTCACCCAGCTGGCTTTCATGCCTAAGGCAAGACTAGAATTTGCAGTCTCCTGGTTTCTAGTCTGGTGCCTTAACCACTGGATCAAACTGGTTCTCAAGATTAATTGCTGTATTCTACACAATTACATCATGGTTAGGGCTAAGACTGGCCCAAGCACCTTTCTTAGTGTATAATATATAATAAGTTATAGGAGACAACATTATGTTAGTGCATAATGTTCATTAAATTATGGGAGACAAAATTCTTACCAATGTTAAACACCTGGAGAATAGAGACCAAAGACTAGTCATCACCTACAGCTGTATTAGCTGTATTGCCTCCTACTTACATAAGAGGGTAGAATTGAATTGCATTGAATTATTCACTTTCTCCTGTTTCTGAAAGTATTTCCATAAATTCAAAATCCTTCTCTGCAGCCTAAATCATCATTTGCACAAAGAAAAGTTCATTACAACATTTGAATGAAAATATGTCATTCTAACCATACTGAGAGGCTCTAGCTCGCCAGTCCAAATTTCATCATCGAGTTCAACAAGATAAATCAAAAGGCCGAATCTTCAGCTGTGAGAGCCTGTAGCGTGCAGGTTGCTAAGGATCGTAAAGCAAAGGTAGGTACATCTGACTTCAAGATTAAGAAGAGCTGGTGCTGCCTCCCATGGATAACATAGGCTTTGTGTGTAGTATAGACCATATAACAGTGCTGAGGACAATGGGTAAAACCAGCATGAAAGTCCTCCTGCAGAGGGACTGGGAGAAAATAAATATTAATGTATTCATTTATTTATATCCAGCCTATATAACTTTTACAAATAATTCAAGACAGTAAACATATCCAACATATTTTCCTCCTCCTATTTTCCCCCCAGTACTGAGATCTTTGATTATGTTCTACAGGAACCTCTCAGGTTTGGTATAAATGCTCCAAAGAAATGCAACAAAAAGATCAACTCTGGGATGTACTACTAGATACTAAATAATGTTGCTATTTACTCTAAAAAGTATTTAAACTTTCAACTATTTTAGGTTTTTTTCTCCAAATTTTTATTTTTATATTCTTTATACATATCACTGGTGAATGGTGTAGTATCTGGCTATCGTACACTTCAGAACAGCTAATTTTATTACTCCTAAATATTACATTACAATTCCATTATTTCATATTATTTATACATGCCTTTTGTTATCACACTTCATTTCTAAACCTTTCTGTCCTTTTGTATATCTTAACATATTAATATATAATTACTATCATTCCCCTCTATTTTCTACCCCTATTTTAACTTTTTTCCTCCTTCATATCGTTATAATATTCAAAGATGTGTTTTTCACCTATTTTGTTATTCATGTTTCCTTAATTAAATCAGAATTTCATCCTTCATTCTTCCATTATTCCATATCTCCGTATACAGTTTTAGTACCAATCACAATCATTTATACATTTGAAGTATTTCTATTCAGGTTCTTTCCAATTCTTCAAGCCATATAATTTTACTATTAATAAACTTATTTATATTAATAAACTATTTTAGTTTTATTAAATAATATATATGGCCACAAAATTTGTCATGTGCAGTACAAGCAGAAATTGGGAAATATCTTAGTGCCTATTGATTCTTTTAGTCACATAGGACTTCTTCCAATATTTATGACCAGTCAGACATTTAAAAGCTCAGTATGCAAATATTTTTCTCAACAGAAAGATGGGAATATACCTGTGTGTTCTTCTTGCTTCTCACAAGGAAAGTATAAGGAAGTAACTAAAGCATAGAAAGAACGGAGGGCACAAAGCCGATTCTTCATGGACATTTCAGATGCTATATGAAGGAAATCAGGATATTTTAATAGGCTATCCTTTTATATACCATACATTGTCAGCTTTATGATTTTCATAATATTAAAATAGAAGGGATTGCTAATTTGTTCTCCCCTAGTACAAGAATGTATGAGTTATACCTTCAGTTGAAGCCCCATGAGGTTGCACCGTAAAGAGGCTTTTCCTTTGGTCTTGATTAATTAGCAGTAACCTGTAAAAGATGAGCCCATGGCTTATATCTTGGGAAATAATGGTAAAAGTACTGCCCCTGAATGCCTCAGGAGACTTTAAAAAGAGGACAGAATGTGGTTTAACAAACACTGAGTCCATATCCTAAATGAAATTAGTTTCTTAGACCACCCAGAAATTTGAAACTCACCCCAGGATACCAGGAGAAAGGACAATGCCAGGTGGTAGGCATCTGGCAGGGCCTCTGGCAGTTGCCTTCAGCAGATCCAGCAGTGGTTGCCAAAATTGATTAACTAGCTGTGGAAAGAAAGAAAAGTTCCAACAGACATTTGGCCCCAACTTCAAAGATCAACAGGTGTCTTTCTATTTATATGCCCCTTAGGCAACCCCAGCACGTTGAAATCATACCACTGAAAGTCAACAACAAATGACCACTATTGTTAATTTTAAAGGGTATGAGTGAGAATAAAAGCTACCAAGAAATAAACTGCTCCCATTCCAATCCTTAAAATCTCCAAAGTCAAGAGAAAAATATTATCACACCTTTCACCCAGAAATTTGGGGGGCTGCATTATGGCTATTAATCTGAAGTAGCTGCACACTACTGACTTCAAGCATGCCTCCTCTATTAAACCCAGCATGTAAATCAGCAATGGCCAACAAATAGAATAATAAATTTAATTAACAGATGGACCAACTGTACTTTAAGAAGGGTGAAAAACTGCTCTTCTAGATAAAGAGATCAGACACATTTGAAAGACAGCACACACACCTCATCAGTCAGGCACTGTAAGGAGGGATTAGGCCCACAAAGCAATACTATTTCCATATCAGGCACAAGCTGAAAGGTCAGGAAACGGTGCGGAACCTATTGGAACAAAGGGACAGGAAAAAATTTGAAATATGGACTTATATTTCCTCACTTCCTCTTCAAATTTTTAACCTGCTCACCGTGGGACTGCCTTGGGGAAGGTAAACAGGCAGATCGCGGGAAGTATGTGGAGGAAGGGAACGTACAAGCCACACCAGCAGCATGGCTTCTGGGGCTGCAAGTTGCCACCACTGTTCAGTTGCACATAAGATACGACTGCCCACAAGTAAGCAACCAAACCGGGATTCTGCTGCAGAGGCGAAGGCTTCTAGGCATTCCTGGAGCAGGAAAGAACAAGACAGCACTAAGATTTGTTTCCAATTCTCCAAATTACCCTTAACTCTCAATTTGTAACTTTCATTATTATGAGATGTAAAACACGATAAGATGCAACTAATAATTTTAGAGTGGGCACTATCAACAGTTCCTTTACTTCCACTTAAATCTTTTTGGGATTGAACAGCTAATCCCAAATCCACAAAACTTGTTGCTTTGGCAAGGAAGCAACAACAGATGTAAAACGTATGTTCATGCCTGAACTAAAGCATCAGATTTGAAATATTCGACATGTCTTAAATTAATTTAAAGTAAGTGTTTTGATGGAGAAATTGTTCATAAATCTATTTTCCAGGTATTTTTCCATCAGCTTTCAAAATCCCAGACTGAAAGACTGAATGTGTTGAGACATACTGAAGGAGGGAAGAGAAAATTAGATGGTCTCTCACCTGCAGAATTGCTCTGGAGGGCATCACAGCACATTCCACACACTGGGTCAGATCAGCAGAGCTATTGCCCGGTTCCAGGAAACTGTCAATCAGTTTAAAACACGACTAGAGAATAGTGCAAGAAATAATTAAATGGCAAAGGATTAAAATATTCCAAACATTCAGTTTATTAGGCAGTGAAATGAACAGTAAGAATTACCACTAATTCACTTCTTCTATTGCTAGAATTTCTTGATATAATACAGGCCTGCAGAAGACATAACTGCCTCAAGCCAAAGGCAGGTGGTTTCAAGGGCAAAGAGTAGGCTAAAATGTTCCTCTATATAAGATTAGATATAAAAGCCTCTCAACTGACCAAAGAGTCTGTTATAGAAAAAAAGGAAACATTTCCTAAAAATGAATCCCAAGTAAAAATTCCTCTGCAGCCCACATTCTTGCCTTCCATTTTCATATGATATACACCTACTCTCTCCACATTTCTAGTGACAGTTGGGTCAGACATTACCTTTAGATCTTTTTTGAGACGTTCAATGTTGCGAACATTGGTTAGTTCCTCCAAGCCCAGTACTAGTACCTGTATTAAAATACATCATGCCATTCAGATGCAGAAACAAGCCCTTGGGGAATTGGGTGAGTTTAGGAGAACAAGAGCATAGAAAGAACGATATTTTCATACTTATCCTAAATACTACTACAAACGTTTCCTGTAAAAACAGACTAGCTGATCTTCTATATTACTAGAAAAAGAACTTCCAGGTACATCACCATTTAATTCCCCATGATGAGAAAAATCTGGCTTGTATAGGCTCATGATTTGTAACCATGTGCACACATACAGTATATATGAACATATAAAATAACTGTTTTACTTGAAATTATTTTTTTTGCCCAATGGACTAGGTTTATCTTCCAATTTCCTTTACAGAGGTCATTTTTGATCACTCACCATGGCATTGAAAACATTCTCAAGAAGTCTTCCAAGACTGAAGTCACTGGCATCTTCTTCTGAGGACAACACAATGAGGGTGATACTGGGAACAACAAACAAGAGAAATTGATGAGTGCAAAATATTTACAGCAGATAGACAGAAAAATATATTTCCCATATTTTGCAAGTTTTCAAATTATGTAGAAGAAATCCAATATTTCATCAAAGTTTACTGGAACTTGAAAATCATTAAGAATATATAAGATAGCTGCAAGAGATTGATAATTTCTCTGAATATCCCCAACTCAGCTGGAATGTTCACAGTCAGTAAAAACTACTTTGTGAAGTACGAAATTGTCTTATATTTCCTTCTACTCCCTGGCTGTGTTTATAACAACTCTGTAAATAGGAATTTGTACCTCAAGTTGTTTTTTTCTTCCTTCATTCCAACTTTTCCCATTTTTATACTGTGTATTTAAGAGCTCTGGAAATCTAGAAACATATTTAGTTGAAAAGATGAATAAAAACTATTGATGTGTCCCAATTTGCTATGTTAATCTGAAATAGTTGAAAGAATTTTTCTACATATAAAATACATTTTGAAGATTAATAGAACTGGAGAATGAAATAAGGTTCCCAGTTTTGTTTTCAGCTCTTTTCATTCTAGCCATTCTAGTTTAGAACAGAAGTCTAAAAGAAAGACAGCATAAATAATGTATCTTGAAATGGCAAGAATAAAGAACAAATTTCTTAAACCTAGCCTAACTCCTCCTCCTAAACTGAAATAATTGCACTTCAGTGAAACATATTGTACCTCCCTGAACCTAAACAAGTATGAGGAATGAAAAAAAAACCTTTCTCTAGACTGTCTTACCATGCATTAAAAGTTATAATAACATCAATATATGTCAGAATGTCTGCTTCAATAAGAAGGCCCAATGTTGTATCATGAAGGAATGGGATATACAATAAAGAAAATAAAACTGAATTGTGGATATTTGTATATCAATGTTTTGATTTAACATTATTCAAGACAGAAGTAGTTATGTAATACGCAGCATTCCAGAAAATAAATATTGAGTAACATTAGGATCATGTGTTGTTATTCCACATAATTCAATAGGCATTAACAGCCTACTGAACAGCCGCATATTTAATTCCATATCACACAATTTTCTGCTTCAAGAACTTGAACTGGCATGGAGAGGTCTAGAACACTTTATACTAATTGAAACTCAGGAATCCAGAGACAATGAAAAATAATTAATTTGTATTGGATAAAGATATCTAGCATCTTGATTATCAGCAGAAGGTTTTGCAGTGTTGCAATTACAGAAGCACTGAAGTTTTCAATATTCTAAAATTACTGATGCTAAGGACATACACAAAGCTGACAGTTCTTTTAATTCTTGTAAAAATTAACCTATATGCATTAATGCCTACTGAAGAAACTGACCACCTGCTAGCAACATGGCATCTTGTGGGCATACATATTCCTGATTCTACATACCTATTATGAAACACTTTCCACATCACGTGAGTATTCTCTGTACGGGCTGCTATCAGCTGGACATCTAAATTGGAACCAAACATATGAACCCCATTCAGGGAGCCAATTACAGAAAAGGGTAACTGGGAAAGAGGAGATAAACATTAGTGTACTATTCATATAAGAACATATGAAAATACATTAGACAGTCAGACAATTGAATTATCTATTTAAATTGAAAACAGTTTTCCAAAATATTTAGCACCGTTTTTATCACTTTTCTTAACATAACTTTTAGCAAAACGGATTAAGGCAGAGCAGTTGCTAAACCAGATATATCATTTTTCCCACCCTCATAACAACCTAGATAACTAGCAATTTTAATTCTTTTATCATGCTAAACTTTAAAAACTTTATTTTAAAGAATCAAAGGAAGTGTTTTAGCACTGTACTATACTGTTCCCAACTAAACTATGCAACATGTTAGATTGTTGGATTAAGGTCAATTATTATCTTCTCCCAACATGCAGCATTTTAGCAAGCATATATTTTCAATAAAAGAAAATATATGTAGTGCAGAGTTGGAATGACAGAAGTACTTGTTGCTCTTTGAGTTTAGTAGTTTGGCTGCCAATCACTACCTCATCAATGCTGGTGAGTGTGGGGTTTGCTCCCCATTTATATACAGTAATGTGCCCTGCCAATGTTGGTGGGGGTATTTTTTTTCTTTGATAGTTCTTTGATTAGAATATTGTTTTCTGCTTGATTGTTTGCCTGATGTTGATATGTGCCTATCTGAGTGTTGGCTGCTGGAGAACATGGAGCAAACTCCAAATTCATCACTACTGATGATACTTAGTTGGGTAACTGTAAGCAAACAACCCTGCTCAAAAGGCACCGAGATTCCACAGTACAAGTATTTCTTAAAACAAAGTGATTCGCTATAAATTGGAATGAAAAGCAGGATGGACGCCTCTCACCTGCTGCTTTGTAGACCCTCCTCTGCTCCTACAGTATAACGGCACGCCACTACTGGCGGTAAGGCACAACAACGTCACGGAATTCTCCGCCTCCTCCCACATTTTGAGCCTGGCAGCCCTTTTTCCACACTGGACTGGCAGCGGGAGCAACGCTACCGAGACTCTAGCAAGACTCCGCTGTTTCTATTCCTTTTGTCTATTACTCCGCACATTTTCACTCTCGGGATTCATTGGCGCCATATTGAGTAACCCACGATATGCCGGGATGTAAGCAGAGGCGATGCTATGGTAACAAGTGCGATCATGCATGATTGGTTCTTTTCTTCTTTGGCCCTTCCCACCTGTGTCTGTGATTCGTTCACTCTTTACGGGGAGGAAGGGAGTGAGTAAAAGAATTCTTAATTATCAAAATAGAATGAAAGCTAAATTGATGACTGTTTCCTGTGCGCATGCGTGCCGAAGCGGACCTGAAGGGAAGCATTTCCTGCGGCTGTAAAAGAAGAGAACTCTAGAAGCCGGATGTCTGTTTCGGGTACGGAGATGGGGAAGTGCAGATGGGAGGGGGAGAGAATTCAAAGTGGGAGAGGCATTTATTGAAGTGTGGAGGGGAGAGAGAAAGAAATTCCGAGTGCGAGGCACAAATAACCTTCCTGCTTCTCCTCCATCCTCTCATTTGAGCAAAGCCAAAACAACACCCTTCCCATTTCTCCTTCGTGGCTTTGGTTTTACTAAATTAAGCTTTGAGAGTAAAATCAGAACAAGTAAAGCCTAAGCTGTCGCGGAAGCAATATTTGTTTTTCATTTTCTTAATTTTTGGGACGCATAACAACTAAAGGGCGTGGCAACTAGCTGCTGGCTTTCAGAATGGCTCTTGATGGGAGTAGTAAAGGTGAAGAATAAGAAGGGGTTGCCTTTATCCTTTCTTGGAGGCTTCCTATAAGTATCTGTTAACTCCTCTGGGAATTAAATATTGGTCTAAATCAACTTTTCCCAGAACCTCTACAGAGTGAGGGATACTGGAACTCATGTGTTGGAGTTCTGGCTGGAAATTAGACAACATTAGGTATGGAGAATGATGTTTTACAGATCTTTCTGAAGTATAATTCTCACTCATGCCTCATAATCTTAGGTTCAGAAGGCTAGTTCTTCTGATAATTATAGTAAAACAAGGTCTAGAGATAAAGCTTTGGGTTGCAGGAATCTTTTATTTTGAACTAATGAGGGATGTACTGCCCATTATAGTCCATTTTGTCTCTTCTGTATGCTTTCATTCCACTTTTCATTTATTAGTCTTCTACTATTCTTGTTCTTTCACTTGTCTAATGTAAATAGTTTTCTTATCCAGAAATAATTCATTTATGTTGCACAGCATTTAGTCCTCTTTTAATACTGAATAAATACTAAGAAGTCATTTATTTCAACTGGCTTTTGTCTTTAATATTTTGTTTTACTACTCTTCTATGTTTTCATCTGATGGTAGCTGAAGGAGATGGTGGTACCAATGCTGGACATGCCTGCTCAACCTATCGGGATGGTTGCTGATGTTGTATTTGTTATTGAAGGCACTGCCAATCTTGGGCCTTACTTTGAATCTTTGCGCAAGCATTATCTTCTCCCTGCAATTGAGTGAGTATTCATAGTCTCAGGATACCTTTTGCTTCCCTTGATTTGTCAGGAGAGGCTGTAGGTAGAAAACAATGCTAGTAATATGTGATTGGCCGTTATTGTGTTTTGTATATACAACTTATATTCTGACTTTAGTAAGCCTATGTGTCATGATTTGTAGAAACTCTTCTGATGAGATATATATGATGCATTTCTGTGTTGGAGTATGTTGGAATAAAGTTGGTAGTAAAACAGAGGACCTATTTTTTTCCTAGATGAAAAAAGGAACTTCAGTCATATAGAAAGAATAAATTTCTAGATTCCAAATTAGATTCACAACATTTAAATTAAATAAAACAATATGTGCAGTGTCAAAATAATCAGTACCATAGCCAAGTGAGGAAGTCTTCTCATGTAGCAGATACTGAGCTTTCCAGCTATATGCCGTGCAAACAGTTCTAAGCCTGTAACCTAATCTGAGCCAACTATCTTGTTATCAGTGTTAAAGTCTCTCCAATCAACTCCTGTAAAACTGGGACAGTGTAATATTATCTTATATGCCTCAAATAAGAAATTTTTTTCAGGTAGCACTAAGAGTTTTTACAATTTAGTCTCAACTCTATCAAACTGGCAGATGATAAAATGTATTAAATAACTCAGCCAGAATACCATTTATGCACTTCAATTATTTCAATGTAACCTGAGCAGGATAATAGCAAAAAATCAGGTATTGGGTTTTATCTATAAAGCCCTGCATGATATAGAGCCATGATGGCGAACCTATGGCACGCATGCCATAGGTGGCACGCAAAGCCATTTGTCAGGGCAAGTGAGATATTGCCCAGTCAGCTGGCCAACGTGCATGCGTGTGCTGGCCAGCTGACTTCGGCCTTTTTTGAGGCCATTTTTCACCCTCCGGAGGCTTCCCTGAAGCCTCCAAAGCTCAAAAAACCGGCCCTATGGGCAAGTTCAGGAACAGGCTTCCGGGTTCCCCATAGTTCCATTTTTCACCCTCCGGAGGCTTCAGGGAAGCTCCTGAGGCCTCTGGAGGGCATCGGAGAAGGGGAGCAGGAGAGGCTGTTTTCACCCTCCCCAGGCTACTAGAAAGCCTCTGGAGCCTGGGGAAGGGGAAAAAAACACGGCAAAAGTGGGGTGGTGGTGTCACTGATTGCACACATGCGCTAGGGAGGGGCCATGTCCATAGCATTATGTGTGTGGCACGCTGGCACACGACCCCCCCAGTGCTCCCCCTGCTTTTGGCACGGCAGCCAAAAAAGGTTTGCCATCACTGATATAGAGCCAGATTATTGAGGGATTGCCTAGCTCCCCAAAGATCTGCTTAGGGGCGCGCTCTGGGTTGCTTCAATTAAGCAATGACCTCTCAAGACCCCATGAGAGTGCCTTTTATGTAGCAGTGTCTGTCCCCTGAAACAGAAATTTGGACCATCCCCTTGAGATCCAAATGGTCCCCATAGCTGTTTAGAAGAGGTGTGAAGACCTGGATCTTCATTCACCCAGACCTTTGGTGAGGGAAAGTAAGACCATATGCTTGTGATGTCTTCCTTGGAGGCTGGCTCTAGAGAGGATGAGCTTATTCCTGGCACATTAGGAACTGGGTTAATTAATGATTCTGAACTGTTGGCTAAAAGAGATTTATGGAGCGCTTCAACTGGGGATAGTTCCCAGGCTAGTGAAGAGGAGGAGGAGGAGGAGCTGCCTTCTGTGTTGGATCCCCAACAGCACGCAAGGCAGAGAAAAGAGCAAAGGAGATCTGCCAGATTACTCGGGAGAAGGCCCCACCCATCTTGATGAGCTGCACAAGAAAGCTATTTATCACGGCAGCCAAAGGGAGATGTTGCTAGGAACAATGTGTTTTGTTTACAGCTGTGTGTTTGTTTGTGCTTCCTGCTTGACTTTATGCCTTGGAGAAACTGAACTTCTGTCAAATGAGCTCTCCTAGATGTACTTTCAGTTTTGTTTGGTGGCTCTAAGTTTATTTGGTGGACTTACTTGTCGGAGCAACTTTCTATTATTGTATGGACTATTGGCCATTGCCTTGTGGACTAATCTTGATCTGCTTGTGGCTGGAATTATTTGGGACACTTCTGATGCAGGGTGAAGGGGACTGCTGGGTAACATTAATAAACTCTCTAAAACACACAAGTGTGTGTGAGTATGTGGGGCAGCACAATGCTTCATTATGCTTGCTTCCTTTTAGCTTTTATGTTTTATTGATTTTTTTATTATTGTGATCTGCCCAGAATCGTTGAGAGTTGACCAGTAGTATAGGTCAGTGATGGCAAATGTTTTGGCCTAGTCATGTCAAAAATTCAGAAAATGTCTACTGACTCTGCTGCAGGTTAACTCTTATATACCACCCTATAGCAGAGAGGCTTTTCTGCACCTTCTGTCCAGATTATCTGTTCTCCTTCAGATCCTACGCTCCAGAACCTCTGAAAATTGCACAAGAGGGCTCTTGCAGGGCATATGGAGCCATAGAAAAATCACACGAGAATGCTTGCATGGTTTTCAATTGCCTAAGAGACTGCGCAAGAATAAAGCCCTCTTGTGTGACTTCCAGAGAGTCCAGAGGCTTTGCATGTCACAAAAAATTGCTTGGTGTCTCACCAGTGACAGGCATTTTATCAGTTTGTCATTACTGCTACAGTTACATAAAAATGTGAAATCACAGCTGCCAGTTCTTTAGCTGGTATTGGCCTTCATAGACATCAGGTTCTCAAGAATTTAGATTGTAATGTATTGGCATATCTGTGTGCATAGCCAAACAAGCCTTTTTTAATTGACAGATGGAAAATTTGTCAATATGCAGATTTTTTTGTGTGCTGCCCAAATTTTTTGGTAAGGCACATATTATGCCAATAACCACTGAGACAACCACAGTCAATCTTATGCCATAATCTTTCAATTGTGATTTTCAGAACTTAGTATTTTTGATCTTCAGTTGTTTTTCTTTTACTGTTGCCTGGTATTGCCACATTGATTAAGTCAATACTTTCTTCTTTCTAATTACAGTTAAATTTTGTGTCATGAGCCAAGAGTTTATCAGTTGTATTTAGAAATAACAATTTAACCAATTCATTTTCTACTACTTTCTTAATTCTATGTTCCCACCAATTTCTCATTACTGGCAGATGGTAATTTTTACAAATGGTCCAGTGAATCATTTTTGCTACCGTGTCATGTTGTTTATATTCAGTTTGTGCAATCTTCTTGCATGGGTTGAATATGATTTACCATTTCTTCTGCCTGTTCACACAAAGTGCAGTTTGAATCATTTGACAAATTTTCAATTTTGGCTTTGATTGCATTAATTCATATAACTTGCTCTTAATCAGCTAGAATCAAATCTTCCATTTCTTTTTTTTAATCTTCCAGTTGTAAGCCATTGCCAAGTTTATCTGTTTTCCCCTTGATCTTTTGTAGAAAATGATCATATAATGTTTTTCCTTGCAAAATTCTGTACTTTTTCATTACATAATTTTGATATTCATATTTTGTTTCCTGCATATTCAGTAAGTTCAATTTTAATATGTATCGATGCCTGTTCTTGGTTGTCTTTTCTAATCAGCTAATTCATGCTTTTCTTCTTCAATATTTTGTTTGACTTGAAGGAAACCTGTGCCTCCATTTCCATAAATTTATTCCAGCAATGTATTGTATCACAGGTTTAGTCCAAGTATTAATCGCTTTGATGATGTTTTCACAATTCAATTTTGTCTTTAGCAGTTTTCTCACCCTGGATATATGCTTTACTAAACTTACTTTTAAGTGCCCCATGTTTGATATTATCTAATTATAAAATGTCCAGAAATCTGATGGCTTCTGGTAATTTAGACATTTGGTATTTCAATTCCATTACCGTTTGCGATTTTACCATGATTTATTATTATCATCATTGAATTTCTAGTGCCATATTTATTTAGGATAACTTTTCTCTCCTTTTGTTTTCTAAGGATTTCTTCTTTTCATTTTCAGGTACTTTAATGGTGGTCCTCCAGCTGAAACAGACTTTGGAGGAGATGTGAGTGTGAAAATATTTTTGAGATTCTAAATTGAATAAATAGGGAGCTGAAAAGTACTGTCTGCTAAGCAGGGAAGTGGGCTTGAAAAGCCTTTTTCAATTCTATGAAATGAATATTCCCCAGAAAAATAAATAGGGGGAAACAAAGGTCTGAGAATAGCCAGTGTCATTTTGGTATACAATAGGCCTCTGCAACTATACATTCATTCTCCAAAAAGTATATGAGAATTGAAACATAGTAACTTAGATGTATTTCTAATGCGGTCTTTTGAATGCAGTGTAAACCATGTCGCGGCACTCATAAAAAAGGTCACCACCTCATAGGACCTGTTTTTATAACCATTTTTGCAGTATTTGTTAACTGAATGCCATTGCTGAAAAGTGAATCCACAATTGTAAAGTAAAGCCATTATTTGCTATCGGCCATTTTTTCAGAAAATCAGAAAGAAATGCCAGGTTTGGGTAAAAGTATTATTAAACCTGATCACATGATCACAGGACCCTGCAAACAGAAGGAAAATAATTTATTATTTCCTGTTATTGGGAGGTGCTGAAGAGAGAGATGAAATATTCTTTGTTTGGATATGGGAAATTCACTGAGAGTAGTCATTTTTTAAATGGTGGAGGTGATGTTGCTTAGCCTTTTTTTAAAAGTTTCTGACTAAAAATAGTGTAGGAATTGGAAGTTTTCTGAGGTGCTGAGATGATTCAGATCTTGACCTAGACATATTTGTTTGCAAGAATTCTCTTATATTTTTCATATATGTCTGTTGCAGAAGGAGATAAAAGGTAGAAAGGGAATTTTTCAGTATATATTACATCTTTGAATAAAATACTAATAGTTTATGTCATAGTGAAGTCATTTTGAATAAAGTAATTCCCACTTGTATAACTGAATAATAAGGAATACTAAGATCATAATTCTTAGATTATCAGAATTATAAGATTCAGAATATATTGAACTGCATCCTTACAAATTTACACCATATTCTCAAGTATTGTGGTTTTCGTGTTGATGCCAGTCAGTTGACAACCTAGACTGGAGCTACTGTTTATGAGAAAATTGTATATTATATAGATAGAAGATGATATATTCTTCTTGGTTATAGGAAGGACAGCCGTATAGGAAGGTATAGCCTTGCCATACTTGCTAATGTCATAGTTGCTTAAATTTCTGTTTCAATCATAACAACCAACTTTCTCTTTTATGAAGTCAAAGTATCAGCACCCAATGTGGGTGAAATTTGAGTCTTGCACATCTCAAGAGCAGCAGTTTATATGTATACTGTAAAAGAAGCCAAAATCCTTAATTAGTAATAGTAGTTTAAACTAGGAAGTGTGTTCATGTTCATGTGAATCAGAAATATTGTTGAAAATATCTCTGTCCAGAAGCCACTCTATATCCAACCTATTTTCCAACCTATTCTACAGTATGGTGGTACCCAATACAGTCTGGTGGTGTTCAATACAGTAGACTGCGCTCCTGAATCATATGTACAGTGCCATGCGCCAACGAGCAGTGCGTATGAATTTGTCACATGGCTGGACAGCATTCAGTGAGTATAAGACTGTGTTAATGCTGTTTCTTCTTTAGAATACATTTGTCTGAGTGTAATTTTTAAATGTGGCATCTTACTGAGATGAGAAAAATAATCTTGGAAAGCTAGTAGAACAAATGTTTAGTCAGTGTTGTGCCATAAGATTATTTTCTTCTGCTTGTGACATGTTTTAGCCTATAATCTGTTATGGGTAATATATTTGGCTAGATAACTGAACACAATGAATTTAGAAATTTATGTAGATTCCCAGTTTAGGAAAAACTGGAAAGAAAGATTAAAAAAAAAAACCAAAATACCTAAAGTTGAATCATAGCAATTGGATCAGAAGCGAAGACCCCTGGGTTCCCATAAAAATGTGTGTTATAAGGCAAGCGGTAAAATTTACCATTGTAGCATCTATGAAGACTAAAACATATCTAAGTGGTCCCTGCAGTATTTTTGAAATTTAGATCTCATAATTACCAGCCATGGAAGTTCAACTCCAGCTCATTTGGGAGACTCAAGTTAAAGGATGTTGGGTAGTTTGATGCTGGAATTCAAATATAATAAGTATTATATAAAGTTTTAAGTTTAAATTCAGACATCTCAGATTAAAAGGTTTTTAGTTGCAGACCAAGAGTAAAAAATGGTGTCTAAAGCCTTTGCAGCTCATTGTTTTGAAATAAATTGAAGTAAACTAGATGGCTCAAGAAAGCTAAGGCACAAGGCTAGAAATTGAGAGACCATAAATTCTAGCTCCCATTTTAGACTTTAACTAGGTGCCCTTGGACCAAGGAGGCAATGGCAAACCACCTCTGAAAAACCTTGTCAAGAAAACTCCAGGAACTAGTCCAGGCAGCTACCTGGACTCAAAACTGATTCAAGCAGATGCACAGACACAAAACTGGATCAGCTGTTGAATCAAATATAGCAGCTTTGTTTTTTTTTTTTTTTTTTTATGTTCTATTTTATTCAATTTTCACATTCCATTTGCAATCATTTATATACAGGGTATTTACTATAAGAAAAGAAAAAAGAAAAAAGGGAATAAAACGAACAAGTAAAAAGGAAACACAACTCATCATTCACAACCCCACCTAACCCTTGCGTCCTCCATACACCCCATCTACCCCCTCCAACTTTCCTTTCTCCCTCTAACACTCCCCTCCTACTTCCCTTTCCCCTCAAACCTTACTCCCCAGACACCCTCCTTACATTCCCCTTACTCCTTACATTCCCCTTACTCCTTCCTTACTCCTCCCTCTTCCTTCCCTCTACCTCCCTCCTTGGTGTATGCCTTTATTCGAGTGTTGTTTGATCTGATAAAAGTAAAGTGAACCAAGGGAAAAAAAATAATAATAATAATAATAAAAAAAAAGAACCACCGTATATAAATACATTCTTGTTCT